TACTTGGCTTGCAAGATCCTGACCTTAGAGGCGGTAAAGAAAACCACTTCTTTCCTTTGAGCTAGAGCTACAAGGTTAAAAAAGAAAGAAAGAAAAAGAAAAGAAAAAAGAGAATCACTTCTTGGCCAATGAGAACCTTAGTGAATTTGGAGGTATAGCAAATAACAGTGGATGTTTAAAGTCCAATTTAAGATTATTTGTGAAAACTTTCAGACCAGAGGTTAATTCTTTGGCTTTAGCAATTGTTCAGCACGGCATGTCTCTAGATTTGCAAAGCAAGCTCAAGAAAGCCTATACAGTTAAACATTCTTGTTACACCTATGTAAACAATAAGGCCAAACACAAAGAGACCAGTCTTTTTGTGATCAAAAATAATCTCTGAAGACTATTTAAGATCTCAAGAGGGGCTATTGTCAGAAAAAGAGGATCTAAGCCTTGCAAAATGGCAAGAGGGGTTAATTACTTAGTGCCCTCTCAGTGTAGTGCTTGGTGTTGTCTAGCAGACCATCTGAGGATTATCTGATAGGCAGTCAAAGTGTGCACCTTTGATTGACTGTCTAAGGACTAAGGTATTTTACAACTCTGCGGGTATAGCTGTTAAATTATAGGATAGCTATGCAATTCTATAATAGTGTGTGCAATGCAATATAATATGCTAATAGCAATGCAAATGATTCCTATTAATCACAATACAAATGAAGTTTGTTCAGTAGAGAATATAAATCTCTATAAATCAAATTCTTGCTTGAAACCAGTTCTAACACCTTATTGGTTTCTTCATGAATTGATGGGCTCAGTAAAATCAATTTGTTCACTTCACAATGATAAAGCAAAAGATTCATAAGTACATCTGCATTAACTTAAGAATTATCTTAATCAAAAGTCATTATTCTATTGTATTCTATTCTATTCTATTCTATTTCATTCCATTCCATTCTGATCTATTCTATTCTATTCACCATAAGGAAGTGTAAAGAATACTCTTCAGCAGTGAAAATAAATAAGCATAAGTAAGTCTTTAAAAACCTATTGTTTTTTAACAATAGGTTTGACTATGGGTGACTATGGCAAATTACAGAAGAGTATATACTGTATAATTTGGTTCAAAATTCATGAAGAAAAATAAATTAAGAATGTTATGTACATTTCTTCAAAAATGTCAGTAACAACAATTTAAAAACTTAAACCATAGAACAGACACTGGAATATGTGGGGTTATTTATTTTTTTTTTTTTTTGAGACGGAGTTTTGCTCTTGTTACCCAGGCTGGAGTGCAGTGGCGTGATCTCGGCTCACCGCAACCTCCGCCTCCTGGGTTCAAGCGATTCTCCTGCCCCAGCCTCCTGAGTAGCTGGGACTACAGGCACGCGCCACCATGCCCAGCTAATTTTTTGTATTTTTAGTAGAGACAGGGTTTCACCATGTTGACCAGGATGGTCTCAATCTCTTGATCTTGTAATCCACCCGCCTCGGCCTCCCAAAGTGCTGGGGGTACAGGCGTGAGCCACCGCGCCCAGCTATTTTGTGTTTTTGAGACGGGGTCTCACTCTGTCATCCAGGCTGGAATGCAGCGGCGTGATCACAGCTCACTGTAGTTTCAATCTCCCCAGGCTCAGATGATCCTCCCACCTCAGCCCTCCCAGTAGTTGGGAACATGCCACTATGTCCAGATAATTTTTCATTTTTTGTAGAGACAGGGTTTCACCATGTTGCCCAGGCTGGTCTCAAACTCCTGAGCTCTGGCAACCTGCCAGCCTCAGCCTTCCAAAGTGCTGCGATTACAGGCATGAGCCACTGCACCCAGGCAACACTGGGATGCTAGTAGTTATCTCCAGGTCTAAGGAAATGGATGGTTTTCATTTTCTTCTTTGTGTTCATTTCTGTTTTACAAAATTTTAAACATAAACGTTTTAAAACACGTATCATTTTTGCTTAAAGAAAAGAGGTAATAAACTTATAGAAGATATTTTCAATGCATGTAATAGACAAAAAATTAATGTCCAAAATGTATAACAAACTACAAATTAAGAAAAGGCAATATCTCATTCATTGAGCACTTAGTATTTGTTATTCACTACAGAAAGCACTTTACATGTATTATATCATTTATTTCTTCTAACAACCTTCTCATGTATATACTGCTCCTTCCAGTTACAGATGAGGAAGTTGAGAGTCAGAGAAGTTAGGCTACTTGTCCATTGTCACTGAGGTGATAAAGGATGGAACTGGAATTGAAACCCTGCGGTCTGACTCCAGAGCCTGCTGCACTACACGACACTAACGACAATCTCATGAAGAGATGTTAAACTCACTAACAACCAGGGAATTGCAAATGAAACAAAAAATAATGTTGCCACGTTTCATCTATGAGATGGATGGACGCATTAGAATGTTTGAGATAGAGAAACAATGTCAAGCATTGGTGAGGGTGAGAGGTGTAGTTGGTATAACTACATGGAAAAATACTTTGCAGTATCTAATACACTGGAAATTTCTTTGATTCTGCAATCTGCAAAGTCTACTTCTATGCATTAAAAAATGTGTACATAAGGAGAAATGCCCAAAGTCATTAGTCATAGAATTATTTAAATCATGAAAAATTGGAAATAAACCAATATTCAACAGTAGGAAATTGGACAACTGAAATAAGCTCAGATACTTATTAAAGAGAATGAGCTACCCCTATAATTGTCAAATGAGTAGATGTCAGAAACATGAAGCTGAGTTAAAATCTTATCTGAGTTGTACTGACATCATGCTACCACTTACAAAAATTTAAACACACACAAGAACAATCCTATGCATTGCTCATGGATGCAATTGTGGTTGATTCAGGGAAATTTGAAATGTTCAAAGGGCACTTCAACTTTATCTGTTATTAGGTAATCCTTTTTAAAAAAAAAAAAAGACAGACTAAAAATGGCAAAATATTAACAAATGTTTCTTTTATGTGGGGGAAAATGAAATCTTTTTTATATAATTTTCTATAATCTCTGTTTCTGTATCTCTATTTTTATCTCTGCATCTATCTATTGATAGGTGCATACAGATATAGATATGCATAATGCACACATATATTTTTCTTTTATGAAATGTATATATGGGTTAAGTATCCCTAATCCAAATATCCAAAATCGAAATCCTCCAAAATCTGAAATCTTTTGAGTGCCCAATTGATGCTGTAAGGAATTCTCACTGGAGTGTTCAGATTTCAGATTTTCAGATGAGGGACGCTGAAACAGTAAGTGTAATACAAATATTCCAAAATGTGAAAAAAGCCAAAATCTGAAATGCTTCTGGGTCCAAGTATATCTGATAAGGGATGTTCAACTTGTATCTGTTTTCTCAAATAAAAATGAGATTTATTTTATTTTTAAAAAATTTTTATGGGTACATAGTAGGGGGATATATTTGTGGGATACATGAGATGTTAGTACAGGCAAACAATCCACAATAATCACATCATGGAATATGGGGTATCTATCCTCTCAAGCATTTATCCTTTGTTTTATAAACAATCCAATTGTACTCTTTTAGTTATTTTTAAATGTATGATTAAATTATTATTAATTATAGTCTCCCTACTGTGCTATTAAACACTGCGTCTTATTCATACTTTGTATTTTTTGCTAACTGTTAAGTGTCCCCACCTCCTCTCCTGCTCCTTCCTATCCCCCATGACCTTTCCTAACCTCTGGTAACCATCCTTCTATTCTCTACTTCCAAGAGTTCAATTGCTTTGATGTTTTAGATCCCATAAATAAGGGAGAACATGTAAAGATTGCCTTTCTGTGCCTGCCTTATTTCACTTAACATAATAAACTCCATTTCCATCCATGTTGTTGCAAATGACAGAATCTCGTTCTTTTCTATGGCTGAATAGTACTCCATTGTGTACAGGTACCATGTTTTCTTTATCCAGTCATCTGTGGATGAACAGTTAGGTTGATTCCAAATCTTGGCTATTCTGAATAGTGCTGCAACAAACATGGGAGTGCAGAAATCTCTTGAATATACTGATTTCCTTTCTTTGGGTATAGAACCAGCAGTGTGGTTTCTTGCTGGATTGTATGATAGCTCTACTTTTACTTTTTTGAGGAACTTCCAAACTGTTCTCCATAGTGGTTGTACTAATTTACATTCCCAGCAACAGTGTACGAGGGTTTCCTTTCCTCCACATCCTCACCAGCATTTGTTATTTCCTGACTTTTGGATAAAAACCATTTTAACTGGGGTGGGACGATATCTCACTGTAGCTTTGATTTGCATTTCTCTGATGATCAGGGATGTCGAGTCCCTTTTCATATGCCTGTTTGTCATATGTATGCCTTCTTTTGAGAAATGTCTATTCAAATCTTTTGCCCCAAAAAAAAAATGAGATTGAAAATGTGAATTTTAAACTGATCAGGTAAGAGTCAATTCTACAAGCTGAGCCCAGACCAGACTAGACTAATTATTAGTCATATTGTTACACATATACGTCTAAAATAATTCTAGCTCTGATTTTATAAGCACCTAGTGCAAAAAAAAGTGCTAAATATTACTTGTGTTTGTAAGACAGTAATGAAAGACTGTGTCCCTGCATAATCTGCTGCTCTTTATGTAATTTTTACCCCAAATGACTCTGTGTCATTTTTGCACTCTGAAAGAGCATGTCTGCATGTTAAACGTGTGACTGCCATCATGCAGAACTGACATAAGCTTCCAGAGGTAAGGAGAGAACCCAGGAAAAGCACAAAAGCAATGACCACAAACCACAAGGACATAGTCATTGTAAAGAAATCCTTTGCCTTCAATACTTAACTGAGTCTTTGGGTGATGGGAGCTGAACATTTTCCAATCAATGATAGACTTTCAGGTTAGGGCTGGCCATACCCTCTTCTGGCTGCTCACAGCTGCAGGGAGACTCAAGTTGGTCAGAACTGAGGTACCTGTGTGGTACCAAATGAGCCCATCCAGTCTGTGTATGACTGTGGACAACTCTGAAACATCCTGAGTCATTAAGCTGTCCTTCTGACTCTGAATATTTTCAAAAAGGCCTCCTTTACATCCTTGTTCCTGAGGCTGTAGATGATGGGATTGAAGAAGGCAGAGACAACATTGTAGAACAGCGCTAGCTTCTTGTCCCGCTCTGGGTCATACCAAGAACCGGGCCTCATGTACATGATGATGGCCGGCCCATAGAACGTGGTGACCACAGTGACGTGTGAAGCACACGTGGAGAAGGACTTGAGCCTCCCCTGCGCTGAGCGGACTCTGAAGATGGAGGCAAAGATGAGGACGTAAGAGGCCAGGATGAGGGAGAGTGGGACCAAAAGCAGGATGAAACCCAAGATGAAGTCCAGCCTGTCATTAAAAGATGTGTCTGCACAGGCCAACTTCAGGACAGCAGGGACCTCACAGAAGAAGTGGTTTATCTTGTAGGGGCCACAATAAGGCAGATGCATGGTGAAGACAGTGTAGATCAGGGCCCCAGCTATGCTAATGGACCAACAGACAATGACCATCTTGACACAAATGGAACGGGTCATGAGTAGCATATAGTGAAGGGGAAAGCAAATGGCAACGTACCTGTCATAGGCCATAATGGCATAGAGGACACACTCAGCAATGCCCAGGACCAAGAAGATGAACATCTGGGCTGCACAAGCTCCCCAGGAGATGGTCCTCTGTGGACACATCATATTAACCAACATCTGGGGCACAGTGGTAGTGACATAGCTCATGTCCACCAGAGAGAGGACGCTGAGAAAAAGGTACATGGGCGTGTGGAGGTGTGAGTCCAGGTAGATCAGCATGACGATGAGTCCGTTGCCCACAAGGGTGGTGAGGTAGAGGAGTAGGAAGAGGGCAAACACGGCCATTCTGACCTGTGTCTCACTGGAGAAGCCGAGGAGGATGAACTCGGACACACAGCTGTGGTTTTCCTTGCCGAGGCTCTGCATGGTGTCTGCCTCATAAGGAGAGACAAAGACTTCCCTGTTCTGTCCCTGCCCTTGGCAAAGGAAGGCCGGGGTTGACAGAAGGTGAGCTGCACACAGCACCATGCACAGTAGCTTGCACAGATTAGGTCAAACCTTTATTGAGTTGGATGAAAAGGACAAGGAGGCCAGCGCAGCTGTGGCACTGGGTAACACATCAGCTCTCAATTCATGCCTGTAATGCAGGACAGGATGCCCAGCTGCCCACAGGGCCTTCTCTGGGAACCACCCACATCATAGAAAACAAGGCATTAGGTAGCCGTGTTTGTAGCCGGTAACCCAGCCACTCCTGAGTTCTACCGTGGGTGCGCACGTGCCCCAGCCTGGGCTGAGCAGATGCCTCTGCTGAAAATCGAATTATGACCTGTGGGTGCGTAGGGTTCTGTCACCCCAGAGCTAGTGTGCTGGCAACCTAAGGTCACAGGGCGGCTGAGGTGATGGAGGAGAAGAAAATGAAGGTCGTCCAGAGATGATAAAAGATGTGCTGGGCAGCAGAGGAGAGAGACATCACAGCCCTGAGCACCCGAGACAGGAACCCTGGTTCGGGACCTGCTATTCCCACTTTCCCTGAGGCCTGTCTGGGCTTTGTTTCTTGTACTTGCATAGAAATGGGATTTTATGTTGAATCCTCATGACTGCCACCTTGTGACCACATTTTCAACTCAGCGGTTCCTGAGTGTCCACGGTTGTCACTCACCCAGCTGCTTGACCTTGTGCAAGTGTCTTCACTTCCATCAGCCTTAGTTTCCCCATCTGTTAAATAGAGACGGAACATCTAGGCACAGGGCTATGGCAAGGAAACTATGAGAGATACTGAATGTCAAGACATTTTGCAAAATATAAATCAGTAAGCAAATAAAAGGGCTTAGTGTAAGTGGAATGAGACGGGAAATCAGAAGAACTCAGGGCTAGTCCTGCCTCTGCCTCTCATTTTCTTTGTGATCTCGGCTAACTCCACATCCCTCTCTGAGCTTCAGAGCCCCATTTTAAAAACGAAGCTGTTGGATTCCAGAGGGTCCACCCAGCTCTGATGTCTTTGATACCAGGAACCCCAGGCTGGAGACCCATGGTCATATCAGTGTCTGAGCAGCAAGGGTGGGCTGAGCTGAGCAGGGCTGTGTTGGCAGGAGATTTATTGTGGGAGCTAGAGATGTGTCCAGAGCATTGGAAAGCACCTGGAGCATGGTCTCAGCCATCAGCACTCTGGAGCCTAGTGGCCTCCTCTCCTATTCCCAAGTCACACAGCCTCTCACTTAGCCTCCTCACCTAATCCCAAGTCACTTAGCCTCCCAGGTTCTTCATGTGTAAAATGGGGTAATACCTCCTCCACGGTGAAGATTGCATGAAATATACCAGGTTTATGGAACATGCTTAACAAATGGAAGCAATTTAGATCCTAGGAAGCTGGGTGGAAGGAGGAGTGGAGCGAGGAGAGACTAGGTACAGTAGTTTTCTCAAGCGTCTGAGCTTCCAGAGGACAGGGCTGAAAACATGATCATTAGGGCTGCAAGCCACGAATGACAGTGGAGGTGAGGAAGCTGGAAAAACGGGCTGAGGCTGAATGCGTGAAAGAAGACAGTGTCAGATGCGTGTTCTGTGCTTTAAGGAACACCAGTTACTGGCTGAAAGAGAAAAACGTCCCAGATCAGGAATGTTTGTGACGGTAAGAGGAGACCTAGGGCAGCTCAGGGTCTTGGTTGCTGGGAGGGAAAACTTTTCAAGAGATAAGGACTGGTCAGCAGTGAGGATGGCAAACCTGGCGCCAGGATGATGAGGGCTGAGAATGAGGAGGTGCCCACGTCCTCCTCTCCTGCAATCCACACCCCAGACCTGGACTCATGCAGAGGCGTCCTACGGGCCACCCTTCATCACCTCCACCAGCAGACACTGTGTCAGCTATTATGCCTCTGCTCACATCTCCTTAGACTGGAACTCAAGGCCTTTGCCAGTCTGGTGCTAACCAGTTTTCAAGTCTGTGTGACTGTCCATGTGTCTCTGTGAGACTTCTGAGCCATGATGCTCAGACAGGACCACCAAAGGGATCCTTGTCTGGGCAGCTGGGATCCCCCATCTCGGAGCCATAGATCCTCCGTGCTAGCTGGCTTCCTCCGTGCCTGCCATGTGTGCCACCACCTTTTGCTCTAGCTGTTCCACTGCTGGGAAAGCCTTCTTTAATCATTTCTGCTTCCGCAGCTCCCACCCTTCCAGGTCCAGCTTGGCTTTGCCTCCTCCTTACCTGACCAGTCCAGCCTTGTTTATTTTATGTGCATAGTCTCTTCACCGCCTGGCTGAAGGCAGAGGCCATGTGTCTTTTGTGTCTCTCCATGGTATTAGTTTGCAGCATCTGGCAGATCCAGGGATTCTCTTTGTATCAGAATGGGGTTGGAGACATTTCTAGCCCCTGAAAAGCCTGGGGATTCCCTGTCCGTGTGATAAATGCAGCACAGAACCCCTCAGCTGGATGCAATAAGCAGCCAGAAAGTTTAATGCTCCCAGGACATTTCAGGCTTGGAGCTGGTGAGCTGGTTTCTTTCTGAAGTTTCCACTGGGGACTGAAACTGTTTCCCACTGAGACTTAGAGGAGGGAGGGGTCCTGTGGTTGAGTGGCCACATCCCCGTGTGACACGGTGATAACACTGTCATAATGAGATGTGCTTTGTTTCCTCCCAAACATTTTTGTGTGCCTTTTACATCCTCGGGCATCTTACCCAAGGCCGCGCACCCAATAGAGAGAAAACCAGGGCTTGGCTACAGATACAGTAGTCCCCCCTCATCCATGGGGGATATGTTCCAAGACCCCAGCAGACACCTGAAACTGCACATAGCAAAAAACTCTATAGATACCACGCTTTTCCTACACACAGCTACCTATGATGAAGTTTGCTTTCTAAATTAGGCACAGTAAGAGATTAACAGCAACTAATAATACTAGAATAATCATAACAATATACTGTAGTAAAAGTTACGTGAATGTGGCCTTCCTCTAAATACCCTGCTGTACTGTCCTCATCTTCCTGTGATGATGTGAGATGATAAGATGCCTATGTGATGGGAGGAAATGAGGCGCGTGACGTAGATGTCACAGCATAGCTTTAGGTGCTGCTGACCTTGAGTATAAGCACAGCGATGCCACCACAGTCGATCTGTAACCAGGATGGCTACTGAGTGACTAACAGCCAGGCAGTGTGGACAGTGCAGATACATGGGACAAAGGATGATTTGTGTCCTGGGTGGGACAGAGCAGGACAGCATGAGATTTCCTGCTGAAATGAAATCTCAGAATGGTGTGCAATATGAAACTTATGAATTGTTTACTTCTGAAATTTTCCATTTAATATTTGTGGGCCATGGTTGACTGCAGGTTACTGAAACCACTTGTAAGGGGACTATTGTTAGATACATGCTACTCATATGCACTAGTGTCCCTGTAACTACCATTTATTGAAGACCGACTATTTTCCTTAGATGTCTACTCAAGTCTACACACCTCGCTGTGGTGTCAATGCTACCAAATCTATTGCTCTAACAATGACTACTTACTATTTCACACCCTCTCTTATCAGATTACACACAGGGAACTACACACAATATTATTAATTCTCACAACACAGTCAATATGTCATTTGATAGACTGGAAGGCTCAGAGAGCTTAGGAGAATTAAGTGGTTCACACTTAATTGATGCTGCTCACAGTATGCAGCAGATATATTGTATATCCAGAATTTGAACTTAGATCTGTCACATTCCAAATCATTCTACTGCAGCATTTCTACAACTGGGGTGCAATGCTGGTTCAGAGGGTGCGTATAGTCAGGCTGTAGAATTATTACATGACTGAGTGTAGGAGCCAGATGGTCAAAGGGCCAGGGCAGCTGTGAAGACTTCCTCTGATCCACTTGGAGGACACTGTCCCCAACTGAGTGTTCTCTTGAGTCTTTCCAGAATTCCAATAGAGAAAAGCAAGAGACTGACTTGGTCTCATTAACTGCTACAGGACAGGGCCTACCGGAAAAGAACCTGACTCACGGATAGGAGGCATTGATCAACTGTGACAGACGGCCCAGTTCAGAAAGATAAAATTCAAATTATTATTTTTTGTATTAATTTTTAAAACTTATTTTTAATTGACAAATAAAAGTATATGTTTTACGTTGTACAACATGATGTGTTGAAATATGTATACACTGTTGAATGATTAAACTGAGCTAATTAACGTATGTATTAACTCACATTTTTTTTGTGGTGAGAACACTTAAAGTTCTCTCTTAGCAATTTTCAAATACATGACACATTGTTATTAACTATCCTTACCATGGCATGCAATTGATCTCTTGAACTTATTCTTCCTGTCTAACTAAAACTTTGTATCCTTTGACCAAGTCCCCCATTCTGCCCTCCTCATCCCTTACCCAACCAGCGCTGGCAACCACCATTCTACTCTCTACTTCTATGAGTTCAACTGTTTTCAATTTCACATATAAGTGAGATGACGTGGCATTTGTCTTTCTGTGCATGGCTTACTTAACATAATGTCCTCCAGGTTCATCCGTGTTGTTGCAAATAACAGGATTTACTTCCTTTTAAAGGCTGAGTAGTACTCCATTGTGTATATATACAAATTCCCCACATTCTCTGTATTTTTTCATCCAGTGAAGGTCACTAAGATTGATTCCATGTCTTAGCTAATGTGAACAATGCCACAATGAACATGGGAATGCAGATATCTCTTCAACATACTGACTTCATTTTCTTTGGATGTTTTTCCAGAAGTGTGATTGCTGGATGATATTGTAGCTCTATTTTTAGTTTTTGAGGAACTTTCATGCCGTTTTCCATAATGGCTGTATTAATCTATATTCTCATCAACAGTGCACAGGGTTCCCTTCTCCACATCCTTGTCAACAATTGTTATCTTTCTTTTTTTTGATAATAATCATAGAATTTAAATTCTGAAGAATGTGGTG